AGTGTTGAAATGGAAGCAAGTCTAAGATGCAAGGGTAGAAGGTAAGTCTCTAGCAAAGAAACTGTTAATTTTGGTACTGGGAGATGGTGCTTTAAAAATAAATTTAAAAAAAAAAAACACTTTTAAAGTGGATTAAATGAATACAGGAGAAGTAGGAATTGAGTTATATTACACAGCACACGTGGGTATGGGGATGGATGGTGTTAGAGCAGGAGGAACCCTATAGTCACTTTTCAGAAGGAAGGGGATGAAGATGGGGAGAACAAAGATTTTAGGAGTTCTGTGGAAAGCATTAACAAGGAGCATCCAGCGCCCTTCCTGCCTGCAGGATGCTGGCTACTGAAATATCTTCCAGAAGTATTTTGGACATTTTGAACAGATCTTCTTATTGCCACAGAAGAACTGGAGGGATCCCAGATGTAAGCTGCTAAAGACAGGACTACTCAGGATCTGGGAGACTTACTAATGTAAGGTTTATTTTTTGTATTGAAGGAGCCTGATTAGAACAGGGAACATTCATCACTTAAGACTATTTCTTTTGCTCTTCTTTGACTTTTCCTTTAGACATTAGCTAGATTTCAATCCAGATGACTGCACAGCCATTCCAAGTGACTACAGTAGACTCTCCTGGATAAAATGCCAGCATCAGGAATTATACCCGTGTTTCAGAATTAGTAGCTGACTACTGATTCCAACAGGACTGTGTGCACTACGCTGGACAGCAGGGGGCTCATACATATTTGTGCTGGCAGTGCAGCAAAGATGGAGACCAACTTGTAAGCACTATTTATTTAGGAGCAAACAAACATCCATAGGAGTAATTGCAAGGAATTTTTCTTTGTTTGGTCATACGAGGAGGACTTTTTTTTTTTTTCCTGTTTAACCCAGTTAGTGACCCAGGCTTGCTTCTTGGCCATTACTTGCATAAGGACTCAACAATGCAGCTTTGGTATCTTGGCAGTCTGATTGCAGAGAGGCTTAAAAAAAAAAAAAAAAAAAAGGAAGGGGGGCAGGGCAGGATAAGCATTAGAAACTTAACAGTTTATCTTTGTAAAAAGGCATCAGGACCCAAATCTGTTCTGAAGTGATTTACAGAGCCACAGCATGGAGTTACAGTTCTTTGTACATCTAACTTTCACTTCGGATCAAGACCATGATGTACAAATCTGCTAGGAAGCCACATGTCAAGAAAGGCATGTAAGCTTATTAAATTTTGCTCTTACTTATTTCTTGCTTTTAATATATTCAAGAGTTTCTAAAGGAATGACATCTTGATCATTCAAGGAATGTGTACACATGATGGATTACAGAAGAAAAGGCCTGGTAATAAATATCTTTTCACTGAGCTAGATGTATACTACGTAACTAGGACCATCCACCTCAGAATATACTGATTCTGATATTATCAAATAGTGATAAGCTGTCACAATATTTAACTTGATATCCAGGTTTATAATGAAGAATCCTGAAACCGGGTTACAAATTGTGCTGTCAACTTGAGGAAGCCCTTCATGGGAAAGCCACTCAGGTCTTGCCTCTTAGATAAAAGGTGGGTTTTTTACTTGCAGGACAGTAATGATCTGATTCAAATGCTAACTCTTGGAACATACAAGAGTAGAATGCAATTTTTAAAAGTATACTCTGTAAGAAGAGAAAGAAAAGAGAATAGTGACAGGAAAGGAGGGACAGTACGTGAGGCTATTAAAATTACAAAGCTTTTCTGGAAAGAAAATGAAACCAAAATGAGAGTGTGTAAGAGCCAATTTAGCATTCAGATACAGTTTCAGACATCGCATCACTGCTGTACTTTGCAACAGGTGGTGTGGTATTTAAGATAACCTGCAGGATGGCTATATAATGTTAACTCTGAAACTTTATATAGTTAAGCCAGTGCTATATACAAACTCCAAATCACTTAAAATATACTGTCATGATGGAAAAAATGGGAGGGCTAAGCCATAAAAGGCCTACTGCAGCCTAAAAGCTATTACTATTGGATTAGCAACAATGGGTATTTGACAGCTAGGAAAAACCATGCTGAATCTTGGTATGTAGCTAGTTCTGAACAACCAAGCGCGGAAGAGACACAAAGCCTCACTTTGTGCTTGGGGGCTGCACTGACCTCTGCTGAGGCTCCAGGAGCAGAGGGCTACCTCTCCTCTGTGGCACAGCTCACCAGAGTTAACATAAAATCACATAATGTTGGGTGGACAGCTTCTAGAGCAGCCTGTGAGGAGTATCAACACTGCCCAAACAATCTCCTGGGACAATCTACCTCTATAAATATTTTTGCTACATCTTATTAAAAGTAACAGCTGCCAAAATACAGTATTATTAAACTTCTAAGGTTCCTGTGGGGATGGTAATTGGCCTTGTGATTCCGTATTCATCTCACAGTAATTGCTGTGCTGTCAAGTATTTTAAACTAGTTAAATAAGGAGACAGTAGATGGTTTCAAACATTTGCAGTTTAACAGCCTGGCAGTTTTATTTGAAAGGACATGTATGTTTTGATTTTGGTTTCTTTTAACTGAGCTCTGTTAGAAACAGTTCTATCCTAATTCTCCCCCCATCGTTTTTGTCCTGTCCCCTTCTTTTTTTTTTTTTTTTCTCTATTTTCCTAAAACTACTGAAGGACATACTTAGAAGAAATCCCAGTGCTGCCTTGCTGCATCGCTGCCAGGTTGGCAGGTCTTCCCCTCAGAATGAATGAGGACAGCAAATCAGTGGCAGCTTGTCAAACACTTACTTTTTATGTGGATACTTGTGCATACAAAATGTCCTATCAAACCCACACGCGACTCCCAAAACATGTTTTTGTGGCAAGGTGCCTGTTTAACCGATAGTTTCTTACAAACATACAGCCACAGAAATACAGCAATTGTTCTCTGGTCCAGGATTATACAGTAAGCATCTTTGAGGTCACGTAAGTGCCTTAATACAATGGAAAAAACATACCCCATAGACGTGTAGAGAGTTCCCCAAACAGGAGCAAAGACCCAGTTAGGTGGACACCAGGATGGCTTCTGTAGAGATTCATACCACACGGGGATTTCCTTTTTGGTTATCTTGCTTCCAAAAAGTCCTCCTGCATGGGGCAGGAGTGTGAAACCCACTGCTGGGGCCCAGGCTGGTACCACTTCCATTGAGGCGGTTAATCTGAAACAAACCCAAATGTGTTGATTGGCAGAGCAACTACGAAATTTTCAATTTTTAGCAATTTTAAAAATATACCTGTGTGCAGGATCTGATCCACAGCCTAATCTTGTCACTGAGAAGGACTGGAGCTGAAACTAATGGATCTTGTACCGGTTTCACTGGACAATACTCACCCCCATAAAGGGACCTATCGTTTACCGGGGGGGGTGGGGGGGAGTGAGGGCTTGACTTCCCTCTCAGCTTTGTGCACTAAAATGACTTAATTTTACCTACATAAATATCTGCACCCTAAGTATGCCAGAGGACTATTTGATATTACATGAACTCCACTTGGAGGAGGGAAAGGCACCAAGTAGGTATTTCTGTATTCACTAAGAGGTCCATTCACCCAATGGAATGGCGTGGTCAAAAGTAAGAAAACGGTGTGTGCTTTCCTATGCTCAAGCAAAGTGACTTTATATGCTGTGTTGCATTTTTAGCCTCAAAAGGGTGCTAAGGATGCTCAAGGGCTAGTAAGAGTGATGTGAATTAGTAGCAGCAGACACTTCAGAAGCTGCCTCAGAAAATAAACACCAGGGAGGACATCGAGAAGGTAAGTACTTAAATGATGTTTTGCTGAATAAGGAAGGAGATCTTAGTAGATAAATGGGGAGTACACCTGTGACTTCTTCAAGAAGCACTCAATCAGTTGCAGCAATCTTAGCTGCCAAGCCCATAAAGTATACAGGATTAAATTTGCCTACAGAAGTAAGACTAAGTAATGCCTTGCTCTGGTAGGCCGTGCTGCTTTAGTTAAGAGTACAAGCAGCAGTTAAAAAAGTAAGCAAGTAAGCAGGAAAAAGCTTCATTGCAAATTTTCTGGTCAAAAGCCAAATGCTACAGAAGAGCTGTGTTTAGCTTGCTAAAATGTAAACAGGTTAGAGGTACGATAAAAAAGGGCAGAACCAAAACGCGTTACTTTTTCAAATATACAGTAGGCAAATATGCGCAATTCCTGTTCCTCTGTTACGCAGGAGGGAGAGACAGCAGGAAGGAATCACAAGGGAGATTGCAGCAGTGGGGAAAGAGCAACTGTGGAAGCCCCGGGAGAAAAAACGTTACAGAGCAACCAACGTTTTGGAGGCTTGGCAAGAAAAGCGCCTTGTTGACTTGGCTGTTGTCTTGGCCTATGTTTCGAAGTTTTTATTGCTATAGTTATGATTGGTGGGATGAGGAGGCAGGGAGCGGGGAAGAGGAAATCCCACTTGCAACAGATGTGCTAAAATGGTGCACAGATGATGTTGCGTTCTGCTGGTTCAGTGGATTTCTGTTTGGAGAACAGGTACGAGCTTGGCCAGCAAGGGAGCTCCCTTCCATTATGTTTTTTGTCCCTGTTCTCAGGGGTTTGCTTCTAGTTACGCAGATTTAATTAAGAGATTTCAATGACTAGGACCACAGGCCAATTGCACGGGATCAAGAAAAATCCTGGTGATAGAAGCAGAGCAGATTTTTGAAGGCAAAACAGAGAGCATAGAAGGCCTGGTAAAGCATGCAGGATTAGAAAGTTTGTAAGGAGGAAACAAGAAAGGGCATGTAGGCTGCTGGGCTGTGGGCATGCCTCAGGGGAGGAGCCGTGGGAGGGCGGCGAGTAGGAATGCACACAAAAAAGGCAGCAGACAAAGCAGTACAACAGTCAGAAGTCAAAAAATAACAAACGGATGAACGAGTGAAAGAAAAACTAAGCAGGGAAGAATTCAGGACTAAGGTTAGGGAGAAATGGGAGAAGGATGTGCTGGTCTGCTGGAATAGTATCAATGGGGTCTCGGGTGGAGGATGGACAACAGGAAGGGAGGAAAAAACCTGCATAGCTCATTGCTGTAGTCACTGCTGCCATACTTCCTGCCTAATGGATTCTACTTGCTATTTACCAGGGAGTGTCTTAAATGGAGCAAAGGAGTTAACGTATTCCCCTACACCTAGATCTGCACTTTGCTACTTTCCTGAGGGAGCAGGCTGTCGGCTGCGATACACGCTACTTGTCACCCGTGCTGACAGCATGAAAGGCTTCGCTCTTACTGGGATGTGAAGGAGCAGCAACAAGGTGTAATGGGAACAAGAGCTCCAAGCACAATGATTCTCTTTGGTTGCCTTCAGATAAGTAATTCCCAAAGGTTAAGTTAGAAACTTAAAACTAACTAAGATCTTGCTAAGTCTTAACCCTGTCACTCTTGCTTTGCCTACAGAGAAGAACACTAGGCTTAGTTCTCTACCCACGCTGTGAAGTGCTGGTCATCTGTGCAGCTCCAGTGTGGCTGTCAAATGCTAATACTTTTTTTTTAAAGCGATAAATAAGGACCCAAAGGGGTTTGTGCTTTGTGTGGACGTACAGTATCAGGGTGGTTTCCTGCAGGTATTAGGCAGCTGGACTTTGTCAGGGGTTCTGTCAGCTTCTCCCCAGGGAACAAAGTCTGAAAGTGTTGTGCAAGTTGAAATTGCTGAATGCTATCAAATTGGAAAAATACTACTCTGCCGCCATCATTAGTGAATAAATGATGTAGCTACATGTCTGTCCCTCCGTGTGTTGGAGGAAGAACGGCTGAAATAAGTGACGAGAGAGAGAAAATCAGGCAGGCAAACAGAAATGGGGAAGGCACAAAGCACAGAAGCAGGGAAAGTGAAGCCACACGTGAAGAGGACAGGGGAAGTGAAGAAGTGGCTTGAATTGAATATTGGTGTCCCAGTCTTTTGACTACTATTGCTGCTAATTATACACTAGGTTTGTCGGTAACATTTCTCAGGACTTCCCAAGCATGGCAAAATACTCTCTCCTGCATCGTACTGAGGAGAAAGAGGAATGAAGCCATGCAGCAAGATGAGAACGTGCTGGTAGGCTCGGCCCAGTAGACCACAGCTGTCCATCAGCAGTGGGAATTTCTGTATTTTGATTCCCAAGAAATGAAATGTTAGTGTCCATTTCCCATACAATGCAGTGGCTAACATGGGGAGCAGCACTAGCTGATCCTGGAAGAAGCCGTGTCCATCTTCCTCTGGTTACCTGGGCAGGGATGCACTGGAGAGCGGGTGCGCTCGGCCAGCACTGCGGCGTTTGTTTGGCTAGCTGCACAGCATGAGGGCCGTGCAAGGCTTGGAGAATGCCCAGTAGAGTTTCTGAAAGTAACGTAAAACCAGAGTACATAAAGGATTATCAGGCCTGACTGCCTTTTAGTGTGTAGCTGAGTATCCCAAGTTACTTGGTGTACCTTACACGGCGCAGGTTTGCTAACACAGCCCCTCTGCCTGCATCTATATTGCACAACCTAGAAATAATTACTACTTTCCCAATCGTATCCCAGCTCCACTTCAGGGTGGGATCTGCTTGCACAATATTCTTGCAGCCTGATTTTCATAATGAAGAAACTGGGATGCCTACGGATGATATCTGCAGTGTGCCCAGCAGATACCTGCCTCTACGAACCACCACAGCTGGAAATCTTTTCCCCACACACACTTAACTTTATTATTGCTGTTTCCGCCTCTTATCTCTGCCCTGGAACACTTCCTTCCATCATCCTGCCCATTTTCTGTTTATCCCTAGTCTGACTTGAGGCAGTTTCAGCAGCGCAGTGAGGGCTGCAGCAGGTGAGTTTGTTCTACGGACACATTAAAATATTTTTTTCTAGGTATTCAAAACATCTGACTTGCCCGAAGATGATTGTAGCTACATCAAGTAACAGGAGAAATAAGGTGGGGGGAACAATGCTGCAACTTGCTGCCTGCTGGGCTTCAGTCTTCTCGCAGGTGGTTTCTCTGTGGTGGTGTAACAGGCAGAAAATCAAACATGCTTTCCGTGTCCTCCTCTTCTTGGAAAAAACATTGCGCACCCAAAAAGAGGGATGGGGTGCGCTATGGGGGGGGGAGGGACTAGATATATCACGACAGAGGAGCTGGCTTGCTTCAGGCTGATTAAAAATTAACTAAACCACTTCTTTGCTTGGAGCAGGTCTCTGAAAGGTGGGTGGGTCCCTTCCCCTTCTCTGGGCACTCCCAGGGAGAGCTCAGGGAGCGGGAAGGAGGAGGAGGGAAAGGACAACTACTGTCACTGCGTTTTCTTACGCCTCTGCTCTGATAAACCTCTGACCAGCCCCCTTCCTGTGCAATGTGGTGCAGGCTGCCCAGCCACGCGGGGCTTAAATTACAGCTGTTGCGTTAAAAACGCAAAGGAAAATCTCTCGGCCGGGCTAAACCACCCATGCGGTTCTGGGGTTTCTCATCCCTGCCGTTTTGAGGTAGACTGATAAGCTGTGAACACGCTGCTGAACGCAGGGGGGGGACGACTGCAAGTTACATCGTTTCCTTCTCATCTGCTGTATTTTTCTGAGGGCAGATAAGGTTCTACCCAGGTCTGAGAGGCAGCATGCAAATCTTCCCTGGGGAAAAGGCTTCTTCCTGAGGTAGCTGTCGGAAAAATTAAGGGGTGCGTACTTTACTTATATTGATAAATGATTTGTGTCTCTTGTGGCTCTAACTCCTGGGAAACCGCAACACCAAAACCAGAGCTGTATCGCAGGCTGTGACGCAGAATACAGCTACCACAAAAAAAAAGCAGTCTTATCTTTGTTATCTGATTTCATGTGATGGAGAAACTTTAACCAGTATATATTATATAAGTTCAATATAAATATCTAACAGGTAACTGTATAGTAGGTGTTTTAACAGGTATTTATAACTAAAAATAAAAATGACGGTATTTATTTAAGGATAGAAGGTGAGGGGTACTCACCAGGGTTAGAGACAACAAATCCCACTGCCTAGGTTACACTTTTTTTAAAATGGCAGAGCACAAGTTGTGCAGATAACCCTGTGATTTACCCATGATTCACATACTGGGAACTGAAACGTACGCTAGGACAAAATCCTCTCAGGTGACAATTTGCCATTGCGGAAGAACTTTACTTTGAGGGTGACAGAGCCCTGGCACAGGCTGCCCAGGGGGGCTGTGGAGTCTCCTTCTCTGGAGATATTCACAGCCCGCCTGGACGAAGTCCTGTGCAACATGCTCTGGGTGACCCTGCTTTAGCAGGGGGGTTGGACTGGATGATCTCCCGAGGTCCCTTCTAACCCCTGACATTCTGCGATTCTGTGATTTACTGCTCCATTTCTTCTCATTTTCCCTATCTATGTGTGTATAAAATCCTCTGCAGGCAGTGCACTTTAAAGACAAAACATCCCTTTGACTGCCTTCCTCCCAAACAGCTACCCGACCTCCCACTGGGGGCTCTTATTATTATTATTCTTTGTCCACCCACTTGGAAAGCGTCACCCACGCCTATTCTTAAAAAAGTTAAGTTTCTCTTGGCTGTTTCTAGTTGTAAGCGCTGCCAAGGCCTGGCTCTTCCCAGCTTTCCAGGTATTCCTTTAACAGGGTGAAGCGCAACAAGCGCCACATCCCGGGGTGGCTTTGAGAGCAGCGGGGTGTTCATGAGGTGTCACCGCTGCCCAGCCTCGAGCGCTTTAGCAAGCACCCCGCGCCCTTTACAGCAAACCAGAGATAAAACGTCAGTGCCGAGGTGCGCTCGCAGCCACGGAGCGGGACGTAGCCATTTATGTCCTATATATCCTGTATTATTGCCCATCCATTCCAGCTAAGTTGAGACGCCTGATGACTTTTCCAGGTATTTTACCTGGAGGCTGGCAAAAATGGAGGAAACCAGCTTACAGAGCAGAGTAGGGCAGAGATGAGAAAAGCGAGAAAAATCTGCTCACTGTGATCCTTGTTGAATCGGCCCGAATAAAAAGTCAAGGGAATTTCTTGCTTATTTCTTCCATATTCCTTCTGCCGAGGTAAACCAATCTGACCCGGTTTATTAAAGCGCTCTGGGAAGAAGCCTGACTCCCTGCTTGATACCGTTTCATAACCTCAAGTGAGGCAGAGGCCTTGCACAACTGCGGCTTTGACATGGCAACTTTCACTTTGGGTTTTTTTTTTAAATAATCCTGCTATTGAACGCTCAGACTTAGTGAAGTGCATTGCGTGCCGATTGATAAGCATTACCTGGAAATTCAGAAGTTAAAAAAAAAAACAAAACAAAACAAACAAACCAGCAAGCTCTGTCTTTCACCCTTAAGGAGATGTCCAATTAAAAGCAAACTACGGCGACACCGAAAGAATCTCCCGCAGGTCGGAGCCTGAGGCGATCTTCCCCGGGCAGGGGGGTAAGAGGTGCGGTGCCCGCTGCTCGGTCACC